AGTAAAATAAAATAAAACAATAAAACGATTAGGCATTTAAATAACAGTTTCAAGAATTGAAAACAGATAAGAGGTACTCCCTGAATAGAACAGGCACACGGTTGATAAACACGAGGCCAGATTCAGGTGATCATCTCTTGACTATGTTCAAAACAAGACTCAACCAGGTAGAATTGAAACACATTTATTACAAAATGTTTTCGTTTCACAAAATAAGATAAAAAAACTTTGCAAAATTCAGGATTTGTGATTACGTAAGAATATCAAAATACAAGGCTGAATTTAGTAAAGGTTACACTCCATCGTGGTCTACTGAAAATTTTAGAGTATGTAAAGTTAAAATAACAAACCCTGTAACGTATAAATTGATGGATTCAAAGAAACTGGAAATAGCTGGAGGGTTTTATCAAGAAGAATTGCAGGTAGTTAAATATCCTGACGCTTACTTGATAGAAAAGGTGATTAAGAAAAGAAAAATAAGGGCAAATGGGTCGGGTTCGATTCATCACACAATAGTTGGGTGGACATGAAAAATTTAAGTATATAAAACAATCGATTGTTGAACATTACATTCAGTACGAGTATAGACTTTGCCAAGTGAAGAACATGGTCAGAAAACAAAAGTCAAAACGCATTATTCGCCCACCTAAGAAAATCGGTGGTTGAAAGATATACCATTTGTCGAAGAAAGCAAAATAAGTATTGTCTACTTTTCCGCAATGGAGTTTAACAAATTTTGTCATTACTAGAATAGCCCGTTCGAAAAAGATTCCAGGTTTCAGAGGTGTTTTTATGAGGGATACACTCCCTAACAAACCGCGTACAAACGAATGTGAAATATTGAATTTGGATAAAATTTCTGGACGCGGAACCCATTGGGTTTGATATAAAAAAAATAGGGAATTTGGTGAGATATTTTGATAGCATTGGTAAAGGAAAACCTCCGCCTCAATTCGTCAAATATTTGAAGAATGCCCGTATAATTGTGAACAAAACGGCGGTATCAGTCTCCAAATTCTAATCACTGCGGCCATCTTTGTTTATTGTTATTCAGGTATCGTGAGATGCGGTCGGGTGTGATGTAAGTTTCAGAAAAACATTTTCTTTATCGTGCCAACGTTTTGATCTTTTAATGAGATCATCTTCAGGGCCTGGGATTTACAAACAATGTTTACATTTAACAATTACATTTAGGATGCGGAAAAGTGAATTTATACAATGCAAAATATATTTTATATTCAAACAAAGTATTTCTATTCACTCAAAGTGTTTGTCTTCTGTGTAATTGTGCCATTGTCTTTGCTTTGTTTATTGTTTATAAAATAAACAATTTCTAAAGAAAAATTCAATATCTTTTCTGGTAGCGATGGTATTAGACTTCAGAAAAGTATATAAAAAGAGGGACGGTAAACTTCGGTCCAGTCTTCCACGGGGAGTTAACGAGAAACAACCTCTCGTGTCGGAAGAAAATATAGAATTTTTGAAAACGGCCAAATATAAAATTTTGCCGAGATCACAATGGAAATGTTAAATGTAGAAGAACGCCCCAGTTGCGATGAGATCATAGAAGGTATAGAATTACATTCACATTATCCTTATGCATCGACAAAATTACAACTTGGTGATGAGATTAGAATCACTGTTCAACTCGAAGATATTTACACCTTTCCATGCGAGAGTTTTCTCTATTTAGAAGGGAAATTTTTAAAAGAAGATGGATCGCGTGTACCTACTAATAGTAAATTAACTCAGAACATTTTTGCATTTTTGTTCGATGAAATTAGGTACGAAATCTGTAAAACAGAAATAGACAAAATTAAAAATCCTGGAATTTCCAGTACTTTGAAGGGTTTAACTTCAATAAGACGTCACGGCATTAATTAGAATGGTGGCTGGATCTCACCAGGATCTAAAACTCTAAGTTTGAATTCGAGTGAAGGTCATTTCAATGTATGCATCCCATTACGATTTTTACTCGGTTTTGCAGAAGATTACCAAAAAGTTATCATCAACGTGAAACAAGATCTCATATTGATACGATCCAGAAGGGATGAAAATTCTTACATTTCAATAGATAATTCGGAAAAAGCGAAAATAGAGTTTACGAATCTCTCTATTTAAACGAGTATCAGAAACTATTGATGTTGAAGCATTTGAAAAAGGAAAAAGTAATATCGGTACAATTTAGAAGTTGGGAGTTGTACCATTACCCGCTACTACCTACGACTCAGAGACAGTTGTGGCCGGTCAAAACTTCTACTGAAATAGAAAAACCCCATTTTGTAATTTTGGCATTTCAGTCGTCTAGAAAAAAGAATTCGTTGATGAGTTCAAGTAAATTTGACCATTGCTGTTTGACTAATGTAAAACGTTTTATTAAATTCGAAATCTTACCCATACGACGATTTAAATGTAAATTTTTCTAATAATCAATATGGAATGTTATACTATATGTATGCAAACTTCCAAAAAAATTACTACTCTCAGCCAAATCCAGCTCCTTTACTGTCATTATCTGAGTTCAGAGATGAAGCTCCTATTGTCGTAATCGACAGACTTCGATGATTTTGGCTGTCTACAAATTGGAATTTTGAGAACATCGCAAGAAGGGACCCATTGTTTACTCCATAATATTACGCCAAAGATGTACACACATTTTCGCGCATACGCCTTGTCTTATTGGATATTTGTAAATAATTTATTAGAGATATTAAAATTATATTTAGCGCACAGAAGAATTTTGTTTTAATAAGACGGCAATTTTTTGAAAGAAATATAGTTTTAATAAGAAGGCAATTTATAAAGCAATTTCTTCTCTTATATTTTGTATCTGTAGAAGGTTTTTTTTTGTTATAAATTAAACGGTGTTGTTTGTNCCTGACACAATATGATGAAAAAAAAAGGTAGCCACAACCTTCATCAAATAGCATAGTCGTGAAAAAAATAAGTGACGTCACTCGTCAAACCCCATTGAAAAAATCAGTGACGTCAGTCGTCAACCGCCAAAGTGGCGTCACTCCTAGGCACGATCAGACCCGACGACTAGTGGAGGGGTGTCTGGAAGGAGGAAAATAGGTGGTAAAAACTGTCTCGCCAGACGCCATGACAGGGAAGGTGGAGGAGGTAATGTTTCTCTGCCCCAAGTGTCACCTATACTACTGATGTCTATACTTTCATGTCTAATCGCGGGCGGTATGTATCGATTAACCTTACATGTAACAAAATGTAATTGTTATATACAAAAATACACTGATATATACTAGTTGTTGCCATCATTTTTTCGGGGTCCTCTCGTCGAAGAGGGTTTGTTTTTAATCTGTGGTCTAATGTAGAATATTTAAATGTAAGAAAACTTAATTATATATATGTATAAGAAACACGCTTTGATCGCATGTGCCTGAAAAGAAAAGGTGTTTTGCTAGTTTTTTAGACATTTACGAGGTAATCTTTTCTCGACCACGTTTTCACTTGTACTTATATTTGTAATTTTTTTTTAAATTATTAACTTATTAAATTGTAAATAATGTTTAGATGCTGAGAACCAAAAAACGCAATGTTCTTCGGTGCCCACGACACCATGTTTCTTTTTATTTCCCCATTAAGGTTAAAGTATGATACATAAAATTTTCAATTTTTGTGCAATTGTTTTTTCATGTTTTTAATTGTTGTTTTCCTATGATAATAAAACAGGCCCTGAAGATGCCAGTACAAAAACTGTCGAAAGCTCGGCGAAAACTGAAAGGAAGGTTTTTCCCTGTGTTGACCTCTTCCGTAGATCCTCCGAAAAACTTCATGTTTCCAGCAGGTCCATAACCCAGCTCATCGTTACATTTTCATCGAACTTCAATAAAACAGGTGTGGAGATTCTCTTCATAATGTCCTTTTATAATAGTATAGCAACTAATTTCAACTTAGCGTCAGGAACTGTATTAAAACGTCTTGCAATACTTTAAAATCACTCATCTCGTTTAAAGCCTAGAAGGTGGTTTTTATTAAAATATAGGACAAACAATGTATATCCAAATTTTCTAGTCAAAAATGTGAAGTGTGTATATAACTCGGTTAGCACAGATAACCCATATAACCATGTTACCAAAAAGTTAATGGATGATTTCAAAAAAGGTTTATTAAATGTTGAAATTAAGACATGCATCTGGAACCTAGATAGAGTTAATACACAGATAGACAAAAATGTCCAGTGGATAAACAATAATCTCCCGAAGAATGTGTTGTGCGCGTTTTTGGAAATCCAAAAAAGGTTTTTTAACAAAAATTGTGAAAAGTTAAATCGCAAACTCAATAATAAATGTAGTAACTTGGTTTTGGAACAATCGCCAAACTTAAATGTAAATTCAGATAGTAATTTTGTAGTAAACTTAACAGATGTAGAAGTGCCAAAGTACATAGAAAGAGTGTTTAGATTAAACAAGAATTTTAACTTATCATACAATAAGAAAAATTTCTCTATTGTAGATACGTTTGTAGAGATTGAAAACCTTGTGGAAAGTGTAACTCAAGATTTTGACAAAAAACAGAGCGCAGGCTGTAAATATTGTTAGTAATTCATTGGCACACCTCAAAAATAAAAAGTCTACTGATATAGAAATAGAGGTGGAAAAATGTAAAAAGTTTCTAAAGGAACATCCAAATTTATTGTTAGTAAAAGCGGACAAGGGTTACGCAAATGTAATACTAATAAAAGAGCAGTATAGGCAGAAAATGAAGGATATTTTAAATGATTCAGGGAAATATGAGACTATAAGGGATGACCCCACCACGAAATTGCAAGCTACCAACAACCTGTTGGTATACAAAATAGTAAATCGGAGCTTATCACAAAGTCTAAAGGAAAAAGTCTTAAAACTTATATAGCAGTGGCTCCAAAAATATGACTGAGCCCTATTGTTGATTCGTTTAAAGTTAATTTTTTTATTCTTTTAACTAGCAACCTATCAATAAATATTTCNAAGTCTTATCGCGGGTGGTATGTATCGACTAACTTTACGTGTTGTTTGATGTTATGCCATAGAATATGTTTGTATTTTCAAGTCTTATCGCAGGTGGTATGGATCGACTAACCTTACGTGTTTTTCGATTTTATGCAGTAGAATATGTTTATATTTTTAAGTCTTATCGCGGGTGGTATGTATCGACTAACCTTACGTGTTGTTTGATGTTATGCAGTAGAATATTTTTATATTTTCACGTCTAATTGCGGGTGGTATGTATCGACTAACCTTACGTGTTGTTTGATGTTATGCCATAGAATATGTTTGTATTTTCAAGTCTTATCGCAGGTGGTATGGATCGACTAACCTTACGTGTTGTTTGATATTAAAGCACTAGAATATGTTGATATTTTTAGGTCTAATCGTGGATGGCATGTATCGAACAACCTTATGTGTTGTTTGATGTTATGCAGTAGAATATGTTGTTATTTTTAAGTCCAATAGCGTGTTGCATGTCTTCTACTAACCTTACGTGTTGTCTGATGTCAGTTATGCTCCATCCTGCGACGGACTTCGGTTCCCTAAACTTACCTTAAGTCCGGGATATGGCTCGCAGTTTCCAAAGCCAACGTATATCCAAATCAGCAGAGTGCTCTTTGACGTAAGCGTGGGGAAAATAAAAATAAAGAAAATTGAAATGAAAAGCAAAATAAAACAATACCTTCTTGACCAAAAATAAGTTTATTACTTCAATAGTAAAATTTATAGAAAGTAAAAACCAATAGGCCTCAAACATTTTTGTAGAAATTAAGAATTAATAATTGATGATTGATTGAACGGAGGGGCTTATTCGCTCGAGACAAAAGGCACATATGGGTTAAACAGTTAGAGAAGCTAAGATCAGTCCGCTGCAGAGACCAGGAGGAGAGTGCTATTAGCCCGAAATTCAATTGAACTACCTTCTGTAATTTAAAGGGGCATTTATCCCACATAAACGTTTCCATAGGCGTCCACTAGCGCCTCGTGACAATGTAATGCCGTAGAATATGTTTATATTTTTAATTCCAATCGCAGGTGGTATGTATCGACTAACCTTGTGTGTTCGTCCATTTAATGCAATAGAATATGTTTATATTTTCAAGTCTAATCGCAGGTGGCATGTATCGTGTTACCTTACGTGTTGTTTGATGTTATGCAGTAGAAAGTGTTTATATTTTTAAGTCTAACCGCGGGTGGCATGTATCGACTAACCTTACGTGTTGTATGATGTTATGCAGTAGAATAAGTTTACATTTTCAAGTCTAATCTCGGGTGACACGTATCAATTAACCTTACGTTTTGTCTGACGTTATGAAGTAGAATATGTTTATATATTTAAGTCGAAACGCGGGTGGCATGTACCGACTAACCCTACGTGATGTTTGATGATATGAAGCAGAACATGATTATATTTTCAAGTCTAATCTCGGGTGACACGTATCAATTAACCTTACGTGTTGTTTGACGTTATGAAGTAGAATATGTTTATATATTTAAATCGAAACGCGGGTGGTATGTATCAACTAACCTTACGTGTTGTTTGATGATATGCAGTAGAATATGTTTATTTTCAAGTGTAATCGCGAGTGAGAGGTATCTACTAACATTACGTGTTCTTTGATGTTATGCAGTAGATTATGTTTATATATATAAGTCTAAACGCGGATGGTATATATCGAACAACATTACGTGTTGTATGATATTATGCTGTAGAATATGTTTATATTTTCAAGTCTAATCGCGGGTGAGAGGTTTCTACTAACATTACGTGTTCTTTTTATGTTATGCAGTAGACGAGGTTAATATATTTCAGTCTAAACGCGGGTGGTATGTATCGCCTAACCTTACGTGTTGTTTGATGATATGCAGTAGAATATGTTTAGTTTTCATGTCTAATCGCGGGTGGCATGTATCNACCGTTGGCATCAACATAAACTTCTAACCTTGTCAGCAGTAAGCAAGAAAAAATCTTGGCCAAACCATTCAGATATGAAATGCCTCTGTATTTAGTGGGATCATTTCTATCCCCTTGTTTAAAAAGAGAGAAAATGAGCGATTCGCCAAATGAAGAAGGGACTGAACCATATTCATAAACATAGTTATAAAAACAAAGGAGATGTTCTTGGAATTGACGTGGAGCATATTTAAAAAACTCATAAGGAATTCTATCTGGTCCAAGATCAGATCCTACAAGATCCTTTAACTTCTTTTGTACCGAGAATAGTTCCTCAAGTGTGAATGGCGCATCTAGAGAACAGTTAAAAATTATAGGTTCTGCATAGAAGTACAAATTTTTGTCAGTTTTTAACGCATTCAGAAGTAGACGAAAGTGCTGAACCCATGCATCCAAGGATACCTCATCACAAATGAATCTTTTTCCTTTAAATCTGTTTATCAATTGCCAAAACTTCCTTGAATCTTTTACCGCAGCTAACTGTGAGGCAGCGAACGCCGTATGCTCTTGTTTTTTTTTTCTTTTTACAGAGATTCTTATAAAAACAGCTCGCCCTCAGATAACTTTGTCTCACAATTTCAGAGTCCGTTTTGCGAAACAGATTCAAAAGAGCAAACAATTTCTTCCTGGCACAGTGACAAACTCGATCAAACCCATGGATTTTTTTGTTTATTTTTGATAAATTGAACTATTCTGTCATTCCCTGCAGACTTAATGACGTTTATAAGTGCATTTAGTTGGTCTTGTGGATCTTTTGTAGCGCAAGGCAACTGTTGGTGTAAAAGACCTAATATCCTTGAATTATAAACTTGTTCAAAATCCGAACTCCAGCTTATTTCAGGGAGAATAGGAAGACTATTATCCACTTTAAGAGTTCCCAGATGGACTTTGAGAGATATAGGAAGATGATCAGAGAAGATTTGTGGTAAGACGTTAAAATCGTCAATAAGAGGGATGATATGACTTGTAACACAGCATAAATCGTTAACTGAACATCCCATTGAAACAACAAAGGTAAAGTCACCATTTGGGGCACTGGGAGACATCCCGTTCAATATAACCAAATCGTTCTCGTCACAAAATTCTAAGAATTGTCTACCAGCTTTATTAATCACCTTATCCTGAGACGATTTGCATAACGCGAATTTCGAAAAATATGGTCCAGTTTACTCAGGAAAAGACTTTGCTTCACTTACTCCAACATTTAGATCCCCAATAAGAATTAAATTGCTTAGATTACTTTCAAAAACAAGATTACTCAACATAACAAAATCACTGTAACACCATGAGTTGCTCAAATACACAGGTAATACATTCAGAGTAACATGAGGCAGCTGCACGGAACACAAGTAAAATTCCGAAATATTCATTATGTTAATATTACAATATTTATTTTTATTTTTTTCTATATGCACATAATAGTCCAACTTTGGGTTGTAACGACTAACCTTACGTGTTGTCTGATGTTATGCAGTAGAATATGTTTATATTTTCAAGTCTAATCGCGGTTGGTATATATCGACTAATCTTACGTGTTGTCTGATGTTATGCAGTAGAATATGTTTATATTTTCAAGTCTATTCACGGGTGGTATGTAACGACTAATCTTACGTGTTGTTTGATGTTATGAACAAGAATATGTTTATATTTTAAAGTCTAATCGCGGGTGGTATGTATAGACTAACCTTACGTGTTGTTTGATATTATCCGGTACAAGATGTTTATATTTTCAAGTCCAATCACGAGTGGCATGTAACGACTAACCTTACGTGTTGTTTGATATTATCCAGTAGAATATGTTCATATTTGCAAGTCTAATCGCGGGTGGAATGTATCTACTAACCTTACATGTTATTTGATGTTATGAAGTAGAATATGTTTATACTTTCAGGTCTTATCGCCGGTGTTATGTATCGACTAACCTTACGTGTTGTTTGATATTATCCGGTACAAGAAGTTTATATTTTCAAGTCTAATCGGGGGTGGGGGGTATGTATCCACTAACCTTATGTGTTGTTTGATATTAACCAGTAGAAGATGTCTATAGTTTGAAGTCTAATCGCTGGTGGCATGTATCGACTAACCTTACGTGTTGTTTCCTATTGTGCAGTAGAATATGTTTATGACGTTTTTCGGAGGATCTACGGAAGAGGTCAACCTGGGAAAAACATTCCTTTCAGTTATCGCCGAGCTTTCGACAGTTTTTATACTGTCATCTTCAGGGCCTGTTTTATTATCCTACAAAAACAACAATTAAAAACATGAAAAACAATTGCACAAAAATTGAAAATTTTATATATCTTACTGTAACTGTACTGGGGAAATAAAAAGAAACATGGTGTCGTTGGCACCGAAGTACATTGCGTTTCTTGGTTCTCAGCATCTAAACATTATTTACAATTTAATAAGGTAATAATTAAAAAAATTACAAATATAAGCACAAGTGAAAACGTGGGCGAGAATCGATTACCTCGTAAACCTCGTTTTTTTCAAACCTTTTGTTTTGAGGTACATCGTCTTTCTTATACATATATATAATTAAATTTTCTTACATTTTAATATTCTACATTAAGATCACCCATTAAAAACAAACCCTCTTCGACGAGAGGACCCTGACAAAATGATGGCAACAACTCGTTTTCTCTCCTCTGGTTAACAGATTCAACCACTAGGGCGACGTTCTCATATCCCTCCTTTCCTTTGAATTTTTGTATTCGCTTCAGAGGCCTACATAGACCGAAATGGAGCCCAACCTATCTATTTGTAGATTACAAGTATTTGGGGTGACACTGATATACACTTTTTCTGTCAACAATCTCTTTTCCAAGTTCGACTCCCCGGCCAAGATTTTCGGGGAGTCGAACTTGAAAAAGTGATTACTGTTTAACGCTTGGTAAACCCTTGTACTTGGGTAGCAAGTCCCGATATCTTTTTGTTATTGTCGCAATCCAACCTGTGTGGGTTCTACCGTGCAGACTATTTTTCGTTTGTTTGACCTACATAGTTGACATTGCTTTCACCATATGACACCTGATAGACCACATTGCAAAGTGATCCGAGTGATACTTTTGTTTTAAGATTTGCATGTAATATATTTAGGTTGTTCTTATACTTATAAGCAATTCCTACATCCCCAACTTTGTGCTTGAAGAGCATTTTTAATTTTTGGGGACACTTCAGGTATATACGTGATAGACTTGAAAAAAGTAGGTTTTGCCACCCCGTTGTTTCCCATTTTGATTTGCGGTACAATCCCATTTTGGTTTGGAAATTCATTTTCAACATTTACAAAGTTTTCTTCAATTTCGACATTGAAATTATTTACATAAAATTGACATTGCTTAAATTCAGTAATTAGTTTATTGATTAGTGCCACCGGGTAATGGTTATTTTTAAGTAAATTGAAAATTATTTGTATATTCTCTTCTAGAAATTTAATGTTACTTAGACCTAACACCCTACTAATTAGGTTCTTGGCACAATTCATCTTTAGTGAAAACGAATGCGCAGAATTGAAGTCAAAATATCTTCTCTGACTAATTGGCTTTCTATACCAGTTTGTTATTAATTGACCCATTTTCGTCCTTTCTATTAAGAGGTCGAGATAGGGCAGTTTCCTATACACCTCCTCCTCTGTGGTAAATTGTAAAGCCTCATTATATGAATTCAGACAAGTTAGGATCTTT